GGAGTTAGGCAAAGTGTGAAGAAAAGTGGAATAACGTGGGTTTCAGGGACATAGTTCAGAAAAACACAAAACAAAAAGTCCTAAATTGGTTTTCGAACCATTGACACAGATGATGCCAATATTCAGTACGATGGTGGTGGTACCCCACGGGTGGAGACACAGGGCACTGGCGGTCCCAGAGACATGCGCCTAGAACGTTTGGTGCACATGCCCGCTTTGAGGCGAATGAGAAATACGAGCACGGTTGTTCGTTGTGTGCGGCGTAGTTCCATCCTTGATCAGCATAGTAGCTGTCTTCGGGCCATTCATCCATGCCCGGTGTGGTAGCTTCGGAGGCCAGGAGAAGCGTCAGCTTGATCCCCTGTAGAGGAGGCGGCCTTGGCCGAATCCTTTCCTTTGCCTTGAAGGACTTTCCTTTGTCCTTTCCTTTTCCTTTGCGTTTGCCACCCTTGGTCCCTTTCCTTTTACTTTACCGTAGTAGCTGCGATTGGATGGACCTGTTCCTTCTGCCTGGTTCGCTCTTCTTTTTGAGCGATAGGGCTTGAAGCGCCCTCGTGATCCGTGTTTGCCGCCTTTCTTTCGCTTTGCCCTGTGATCCGGGACGCGTTCGTGGTCTTCTGCCACGCTTAAATCTCTTTAGTGCAGACGCCTCATTTTCATCCATCACCCAAAAGACGGAATCATCCTCGTTTGCGAGGAACCCTTCCTCCAGGTGTCCTCGTCCTGAAATAAGCCAATAGCGTTCAGCTACGTCATATTCTCGTCGGTCGAGGATGAGGAAATTGTGCCTCTTCGCTTGCGGCGAGGGTCTCTCCTTCCTACCCGATCCCTCTGGTGAGAAGAGTGCCGGATGTTGGGGTCTTGCAGACCCGTTCGCGTTCAAAACCCTGAGGAATAAATCCAGCCGGAACCGGTGGCCGAAGACGAAAACCCTAAGAAGTAACCCAGCAGGAACCTTTGGCCCCAGCATGGCAGGATCCGAAATAGAGTCAAAAAAGTCATAAATAAGATGTGTGTTTTGCCACTTTCTGCAGAGATTCGTTGTTTTTTAAGACGAAAAAACTTACAACGAAGATGTTTTGTGGAAAAGGCAGAGAAGTCAAATCTAAGAAAAATGCAAGTTACACCTACGCGTCCTACCTAGTCCGTCCGTCCGTCCCTTCCGTCCGTCCGTCCGTCCGTCCGTCCGTCCGTCCGTCCGTCCGTCCGTCGTCGGTCCGTGTCTGCCGGGCATAGAAAAATATCGGCCGGAGACCGGAAAACCTATAATTAACGTTTTGGATGTCATGAGGCTGTTTTCGATGTTCGCCGGTAATACCCCGAACATTTCCATCATTCATCTGACTGTACACGCCTGTATGTAACTCAGACAAGGCATTGATTCAGAGGACGCGGTATTTGCAAGTACCCGACCCATCCGACTTTATAGTTGCAGTCACGATCAGAATTGCAGCAATTGGCAACTGTTGCAACAAGGTCTTGTCTACCTATCTGAAGGCCAAGACGCGAATGAATCCATTGTACAATGAACACATCGGTTCGCCCCAAACATTGCTCTTTAGTTGCTCACACCCTCCCAACGAGGTCCCCTGATCCTTCAAGCAGGATGAACGGTAACATTAAACCCCCTAAAATCCCCTATGTAAACCCTAACCCCTTAAACCCCTAAATCTCAACGCTCAAACCTATCCGGTCAGTGCCCGAACACTCTGAGGAACACGATGCAGACCCTGGAGGGCACGCCAGCCCTCGTTCACGCTGCTCGGGCAGTATGCAAGGCTTACGATCCAAAACCTTAACTCGTGGTGTACGGCCGATGTAGGGGTTTCAGGGAGCTTGAGTGCGCCGGTGCATGGTATACTTGGAGTTTCTTGCCTAGTTATTATGAGTGGGGTTATAACTCCGCTAATTTGGGTCATAATATAGTTACCTTACTTTCTAACCCACACTTACAACTGCCCCTAAACCCTAACCCCCATAGAACCCTTTAATTCAGGCAACCCTACTTATAACCGCCAGGTATAAGCTGCCCATGAACCTCCCAGGAGGGGTTTGGCCTCTCTGAAGGGGATTTAGCAGGTTATGCAACAGAACAATTCAGGCACCTAGGTTGTTGCCAGTTCCCCAACAGCGTGCAGGCTGTAAGACATGAGCTACACCCTGTAACTCCGAAGATTAGGATCCCACGAAGACAGAAACTGTCCTCCCACCACCCCCAAGCCCTGAAGCCCCAACTTTAATGTCATAAGCCCAAAGCGCGCAGAACCCTGAACCCTAACTCCCCGAACCTTAGAAAAACCCTAAGAAACCTTTGGAAGCCCGAAATCCAGCAAAAAGTTCTCTGAACTCAGGCAGGGCCCTTCGCCAACATCGCCCATGGCAACTCCTCCATCATCTCTGCAGCTCAGAGGCAACTGCATGGATGGAGTTATTGGGGCTTCGGGTGTCTATGGCTGTAGGTTTTGCTGTTTTTTGCTAGGCTTCTTATGAAGTATAGTGTTTTATCTGGTGGTGTTGAAGGCTTTTGAGGGTTTAGGGTGTTGGGTTTAAGGTAAGTCCTGATATGTTTGGGGGTTGGAGTGTGGGTTGTTTTTGTTGGGTGGTAAGCAGTTTAGGTGTTTCGGGTTTAGTGGGTTCACTTCGTGGGTAGTTCTCCCGTATAAAACGGACCCTAATTTGGAGAACTGCGCTGATGGTATGCTGATACCAAGGATCTTATTGGCCTTAAGCTCGTCGGCAAGGGCGGCTATGTGCTCACCGAGGCTTGGGAGATCTTAGGGAGTTTAGTCGACAATTACGGGTGATTTGTGGGTAGTTCTCTATATTCGGGTCCCCTTTTGAGGGGTTCCTTGATTGGGATCTATAAGAGCAGGGTTTGCATACGGGCGCTACAAGGGTAGTTCTCTACATTTGGGTTCTTTTTAGGTCCCCAATTTAGTACGGCACTCTTATAACATCGACCCTAAGGGACCCTGATTTACAGAACTACCCACATGCATTCTCTCAGCGCGTACGTTAGGTTTTGGGGCCTTCACGTCTTGGGGTGTGCGCAAGGGCCGCCACTCTTTGTTCCCTAAACCCTAAACCCCAAACCCCGAAACCTAAACCTTCAACCCTAAACCTAACCCTATATGCCATATAGTAGAAGCCGTAATTTTGGAACATTGTAGTCCTCATGCCCTTAAAGTAAAGTATAAGGGATCTAGCACAAATCATCCAAAGCCCATGTTCCAACTATCTGGGATTCAGGGTACTCCCCCATTAAAGAAGGTCTTGATATACTCGGCTGGCAGGCCGGATTTGGCTCCGACATGGGCGGCGAAAAGTTTTTCAACATCAAGTGCTACTACAGCGGCTTGAGTCAAGTCCTATGGGATCCTTACAATAGGGCCTTAGTAAGGGAGGGGGTCCGTAAGGGGGGTTCTTGAGTTAAGGACTTCAGCTGGAGCAGAAGCTCGCGCATCAAGGGCTCGCGGTTTGAGGACCTTGTGAACTCCACGATAGAAAGATGCTCTGAAGCCCTGCAAGAAGTTACCCTCCAATTAGTTTCGGGCTTTGGTTTACAAAGCTTATAGATCCTTAAGCCCTAAACGTTAAACCACAGGTGGCCTGACAAAGAAGCATGGATTCGAAAACCTTGTATGCGGTGTACTAGCCCACGCAGCTTGCACTGTTCGAGTTCAAACCCCCGAAACCCCAATCCCCTAAAAACTCTTTGAGAACGGCAAAGCCCCTGAGATCCATAAAGTTTAAGAAATCTCAAACCGGTGGACAGGAGGCCTCGGAGTTAGAAAGGCATGTGCATGTTTCGTAACGCAGCAACAAAGGTCTCGCTCTCTCTCTCCCGCCCCCTTCCTGTCCCCCTCTCTTCCTCTCCCTCTCTTCCCTCTCTCTTTCTTTCTTTCTTTCTCTCTCTCTCTCTCTCTCACTCTCTCACTCACTCACTCACTCACTCACTCACTCACTCACTCACTCTCTCTCTCTCTCTCTGTGTTTCTATATATATATATATGTATATATAGACACAAATATATGAATATACATATGCATGCACCCACACATGCGGCACTTTGCAAGAGCTCCCAAAGGTGGCCTCAAGCCGGACTGCGCCGTGATCGTTTGCTCGGTGCGGGCCTTGAAGCTCCACAGCTGCGAGGCCTCCTCGAGGGTCCATATCTATATATATATATATATATCTATCTATCAAAAAATTAACTATACATATATGTATATGTATATATATATATATAGATATAGATATAGATATAGATATAGATATAGATATAGTGACCCTAAAGCCTATGTCGTTTCCACAAAGCAGGAACCTGAGAATTCTGCGAACGCTCTTAGTCGGAGCAGCCCATCCATGAAGCGGCGTAATCAGATAGTTGCAGAACCGCGGCAGCGATGTCTCTTACCATCTGTAAGTTGCTCAGGCAGGAGGATACTAGAGTCACAGATGCCCCTATTCGGCTTGCCTTGGTTTACGGATGCATGCAGAGCTCGGCTCCAGATCCCAATATTTCGTTGCGGAGCTCGCAGGCACCGAAGATTGTGGCCGGGCAGACGCCGTCCAAGGAGTACAGCGAGGAGCAGCCTCCCGCGGTGGAAAGTAAAAGTAACAGTAAGGAGTGGAAGAATGCAACAAATAATCGTAAACGCAACAAAAGCAATGACAGTAATGGAATTTCGAATTCAGATCCTAAGTGCCTAAGTACGGCAGCGTCTACACTAAGCGTCCCTCATTGTTTGTAGCCTCCTGACATTTGGTCCAACTTGGGCTGTCTGGCAAGGCAAGGAGAAAGCCCCGCTAGTAACTCGTATTGTAACCGTCATAGTACCCCTTATAGCAACCCTCATAGTAACTTTTTATAGCACCTCATAGTTATCCATTACGCTAACCCTTACAGTAAGCCTTGTAATAACCTTCATGGTCACCGCTATAGCAGCCCTTACAGCAACCCTCACAGTAACCCTCGTAGCAACCCTTATGGTGATCTTCACAGTACCCTTTATCGCGTTGTATGGGAAGCTAGGAGAACCTTGATCTGGTTCAGAAGGGCTGCTCCAACCTGGTGGCGCACATCCAGAGCTTCAGCTGAAGAGTGCTTCAAGGCTTCCCGTAAGGGCTCACCTAAGGGCTCCATAAGGATTGTAGGGTTTAGGGCATAGGGGTCTGCATGAGTACCGCTGGTATTCCTCAGGGCTCCTTGTCGTAATACCCCGAAGCCTTATTCCAATTGGAAAGGCCACAAAAAACAAGAATTGGGTAGCCGTTAATGTCGGGATCGCGACGCAGGTGCCTGGAAATGTAACGCAGGGGTCTGAATCATCATCACAGCAGTACCTCTTTATCCCCAATATACTAGTATTATTGTCTACCCTCAACACCCGAGTCTCGTCGTTACGCCCCCGACATCAGGGTGAAAGAGTTACCACTCGGAGCCCAACCTTCAAGAACGCTGAACGTGCGGGCCCAAAACCACCAGAGAGACCCGAGAATCAGAATAACACAAGAAGAGTGAGGTTCTCAGACAGCACCAACCAAAGGTACCGGAAGTGTCATGCAAGCATAAGGCCAAAGTCGTTTATTCAATTTATTCGCAGTTCAAGTTTACAGCCACCTTAACATCTTCAGGAATCGCTTACAGGCTGCAGAGAGTTCCATGTTATGGGCAGATCCTACATAGATAGCATGAGATGTATAATGTAATACGTGAGAGTGTAGTATAGTATAGTTTAGAAATGTATGGTATAGTATAGTATAGTATATGATCGTATATTAGAGAACAGTTATACATGCATATATATATATATATAGTAGTCAGGACTAGCATGAGATCCGTACCACGAGCTTCATAGCAGGATCCGCCCCATCATGAGCCTCGAGTCAGGACGAAAACGAGCAACAAAGCGCTTTGGGATTGGGTTTGGGGGTTTGGGGGGTTTAAGGGGTTTAAGGGTTTAGGGTTTTAAGCGGACAACATTGCCAAGCGGCCGAATCAGCTCAGGCTATGAGCATTGATTCATGCATTGACTATTCTTTCGTATACTATACGTACTATGCCATACTAAATATACTGTGGTTACTAGAGTATACTATAGTTTCATCATCGTATGCTACGTACTACATAGTGCTTACAGCACTCCGCTTTCCGCTGAACCCAAAGGCTTTGGGGGTTTTGAGTACAGGGGCTCCCAGACTCCTAAGCCTGTAGACCCTACGTACACCTTACACCTACTTGGAGGTTCATGGGTAGTTATAATTATAAGTGGGGTTATAAGTAGGGCAACTATAGTTATAACCCATATTAAGGGACTTATAACTACCCATGAACCTCCAAGTACACCTACGAACCTACCAACCACTTGTAGGCGCCATAAAGTCCACACAACCTCTATAAGCCTCAACCCTATACTGTATACTCGAAGCCCGAAAGCACTTATAAATCCGGAACCTTGTACAACCCCTGTACAGGCTATAGCTCAGACATCATGCCGCAGAACTGTACAACACCCTTGTAAGACCCTTGTGGAAACTGTCATAAAAGCCCCGAAGCCCTAAACCATTCACGACCTTTTGAGCACCCGAAATCCGACCCAGGAACGTGCGCAAACACGGCGTGAAGGCTCTGGCCGAAATTGGCTTTGCTTCTGGAGGGTCGGGTTTTGTAGGTGCTCGAGTTTTAGGATGTGTGGGTTTGTAGTTTGGGAGTAGGGTTATACCTTAAGAACCCAAAACCCACTTTTTGTAGGTTCTTATTATAAACCCTAACATGGGATTTATAGGGACCCTACAAAAAAGTAGGTTTGGGGTTCTTAAGGTAGTGTAAATCCCAGATCCCTTGCAAAACCAATCAGGGCCACGCAACCTTAAACAGAACGCCACCCAATTATTTAATTTGTTTACGCCAAGATCCCAAACCTTCCAGGAACTAAGCCCTGAGTCACATACAGGTTTAAGCCCCCGACCGCATTATTATACCCTTACCCTCAAAGGACTCATATTTTAAGGCTTTTGGGCCCAAAGACCCTATTATATGAGGCTTTTCCGCTATTTTGATGCTACGGGATAGTCTCCCACACTGGATATCAGGTGGAGAAGGCGCGATAATTGGTGCTTCTAGGAACACCCCGGACCTCTGAACCTGCAGTCAGGCTGTCGTAGCCATCAATCGCTTCGGCACGGATACTGATGCGGAACTTGAGCTTGTCAAAAAGGCCGGGATTCAGGTTGCAGGTTATATGTCTGTTGATTTGATTGTTGCGTTTCGGTGCGTTTGTGAGCTTTGGGGCTGTAGGCAGCGCCAAGCCTCTATGGGTTAAGGGCTACAGAGTTGCAGGGTCAGGGCAGTCACATTGGGAGAGATTTCGAAATGGCCGTGCCATCCGACCTGTAACCCTGGGAGGCAAAGGTATGACCTCTTGGTTCTTAGTGCAACAGTGATGGCTAGATACTCAGCGAGTGGAACGATGATACGCGAACTTACGAGTGTTGGGTTTTGTTGTAGGGTCTTGGAGTTCAGTATGGTGCGAGCAGAGACGGCTGCATAATTTGTCGGCTGCCGGCCTTTCAACCCAAAATCAACCTCGACGGGACTTCATAGAGGTCAGAGAGATGAGGACACGGAACTCATTTTGCCACCACCAAAAAGGAACGCATCCGTTGGCACTGTAGACAAGATACCAGGGAGCACCTCATTGAAAGCCTTCCTTCGTGGCCTTAATAATGACCTATATCATTCTGGGGTTTTTCTTATTGTATGTCTAGCATAATGGGCCCCAAAATCCTATTCTAATTATTAAGGCCCCTATATTACTTCTTCAGAGCCCTTTGTAGAAAGCCCACAAACCCCATCAAGCCCTTACGCCATACCCCTGAAATCCCTATGAGCAAACATGTTTCCCAAGACCACGGCTAAACAGATCTTAACGAAATTCTGAACTCCTTATGGAAAGGAAGATGAGCTGCTCACGAAGCAAGTGTCCTAGCCGCCCCAAAACCCATAAAGCCCGGAACCCGCCAAGGTTTCCCATAAACCCTAAGCCCAGATAAACCCAAAAGCCCTAGAATCCTAGACCCTAAACCCTAAACCCCAAGCCCTAGAATCCTAAACCCTAAGCCCCTAAGCCCGAGAATCCTAAACTCGAAAGCCCGAGAATCCTCGGTTCGCTCCCTTCTGTACCAGGTCGCCCAGGAGAACGGCGCCTTCGCAGCGGTCGTGGCTGAAGCCTGGCAAGGGAACCCGGGGACTTCCAATCTTCGGGGCTGAGTGGGTAACTTGGGGTTGAGGGTTTAGGATCTTAGGGGCTGAGTAGGGAACTTAGGGTTTAGGGTTTAGGGTGCACTGGCCTTTTTGCAGGCACCACCGCCCCAAAGGCGGTAAAGAAAGGCGCAGAAAAGCGGCGCAGAACACCGGTGCGTTTTCAATACCACCGTGATGTGATCTGACGCGACTGATTTCTAATTCTTTGTGTCAGGCACCCGTGACCACAAAGCGCCTCGGCCGATCATTCGCTTGGCAGAAGCGGGGCTATGACGTGCGGATGTGCTGTTACGGGAAGCATGAGTGCCAAAGCTGGTTTGCCACAGATAAGATGCGAAGTTCGCATGCTCTGAGCGCATGCCTGTTACATGACAAACGGGGCACACATGCTGAGGAATACGGAGAATATATGCAAGCAGCACATGCGACATGCTCGCCGTGATATGCGGATACGACAGCATATGGATGCTGATGATGCTGCATGGCTCATGATTTGCGAACCAGCGGCTGCTCTGCGGGCATGTACGGCGTGCTCGCTTCACGGATGTTCTGGAAACTGGGTATACACATCGGGAGGACAAAAGTCTTGACCTACTGGACCATCGCTTCTTGTCTTGGGACCTCTAGCGGAGTGCTCGCAGGCTCAAATTACAACAGAGTACTTTATACCCCTTAAGGTGTGCTGAAGGAGTACCCGGTGGATCCTGTTTTGTCGGGATTCTACGCGGAATGGGAAGCCTCCGTTCTACGAAACCGTGAGTAGGTCAAACTTCCTACCGCAGCATCAATCTTGGGTGCGCAAGTGAACTCCACAGCGAATTTGTTGACGGACTTGGCCAGCCGCCATGCCGTCGTTTCTTGCAGTGACTTCTGTACAAGTCTTGCGGAGGGTTTGGCTTCCGAACTAAGGTTTCCGTCAGGGAGAGGACGTTTGGGGTTTACGAGCAGCACGATTGCTCCCCAGATGCCTGATTTGAGGATGGTGCTCTATACGACTACTTTTAAGTACGAGAAACCCCAAAAACTTCATCTAAAGCCCTTGGAAAGCAATTCCGGTAGCCTCCTTAATGTCCCAGCAGCGCGGAGTCCTACACTCCTGCACCCTTCTTACACCCTAAACCCTAAAGCTCTAATACATAAGCCTGAATACATGCCAATACTATTCCGTCTTGGTGTCCCTCTTCTGGAGAGCAGGTTGCTGTGGGGCCTAGGTTTTTGAAAACCCATTTTTTTAAGGATTAGGGATATGTTTAGGGAGGGAGCTGTTGTGAGGGCCCACGTTTTGTTACAAGATAGGTTGGTTGGCGCCTTGGTTCTTGCAGATCCTTTTTGTATCTTATTTTTTATTCCAACATCTTCAAATAGTTGTAAAGTACCCGCAGCATTACACTTCAAAGTAGCGTTCACTTCTATTCCTGAGTAATGCATTCAAGGTCAGGTATAACGTGTGCATAGTCAGACGTCAACGTGTACGACGCCGCGGTATTGATTGGCTATGTACTCAATCTTCTTTCTACAACATTTATCACAGGCAGGAATCACCGTAAACGCCGTGCATTCTTCACTTTATCGGACCAAGTCTTGGGGTAGGCCACATAAAGTCGACACGTCCCTCACGGAGCCATATATCTTATCCCTTCAAGACCTTTCATCCTATCAAGCCAATCCACCCAAGACTAGATCTCCACGCATCATCTGCTTTGGCATGCAATGTTGAAAACATGTACGTACTGAATTAGCGTATCTATTTTGCAAAGTGCGTAGGATTCCAACAGGTGTTTAGACCAGTGCTTCGTTGCTGCATGTCAACAAATATGAGTGAGTTGAATATATGTATCCGCATGTGTGACTGTCAAAGGAGTCAAGGAATCAAAAGATATAAAAAGCTGGCCATGGTTGTCTTAGCGGACTCAGATCCTGCTTGTGCGCATGTTCATGTCCTGCTAGCTGCGATAGGCCCTATAGCTTCGGTTATTACCCACAACCAACAATCCAAAATACCAAGTATCTGGATCAGTATGAATGTGGACATCTGGTGGGCGAGCTGCGGCTGAAGCCGCAACATCGCTAGGGGAATGATAAGGCTCCACAAATCCTTGTGGTCCAGGCCCTGGCATGATCTTGCATGGCCTCCATCTCCACAAGTATCCGTATCAGAAGCCCTTTTGGTTGGATATACAATCCCTTCATATTCCTCTAGTCCTCGATTATGGTTATAACCGTGGCGAAGGCCTCCATCTCCAAGTATCCGTGTCAGAAATCCTTATGGTTTGATAGACAATCCCTTCATGTCCCTCTGCTACTGCACTATGGCTATAATCGTGGCGAAGAGTGGAACCCTGAGCTACGTAGCAACAGCACGTGTGTTTACACGGGAAGACAGGTGTACGCACATATGCACCATCTCCCACGGAGGCAACCCATGTCTTTATGGACAACGCCCGTGTTTATAAACAAAGCCAGCTGTTTATAAACAGCGGACCACATAACATTATCATGTTTCACATAAGCAGAAACTCCGTAAATACCACTGTTTTTATAGCTTTCTCAGGCAAACAAGGTCTTGGTCTAAACCTCACAAGCCGGCACATGGAAAAAGTCCTTCGTATCAGTGTGTCTTTATCCAAAATTTGCAGCAAAGTGAGATTTGTGAACGGGTTGCTTGGAGTGAATGGCGCGCGCCGCGTTGGTGCTGGTGGGGGGGGGAGGGCGGGGGGGAGAGGTACTCCAACATCAACCCAACACTCCCCCCCTTCCCCCCCCTCCCCTCCCTCCGACATAATACAATGAATACGAACATTTAGACAACGAGCACGTATCAGACGAGAGTTAACCATCTAGCTTCATTGCTTCATTAAACGAAGCGTATAAGAACACAAGGCACATGACAATGAACACGTCCAACAAACTCAAAGCGCTGAAAGCATGGTATACCGAAACGCAGTGTTTATAAGCAAACCCTGTGTTTATAAACAGACCTCGTGTCGTGGTTTGTAACAACTCAGAGTTGATGTTGTAATTGGAAACGAAAACGTGTACCACTCGAGCGACCAACTGACACAGAAGCCCACAGCCACACACACAACCAGTCGAAAGGTACAAAACTGCTGAACATAGTGGGTTGCAAAAACGCAGGCCCCACAGCCTCCTCTTCTGTTATCATAACTGTACAATACAGTATACCTCAAAACGCGTTTCTATGTAATGTAGGGGCCTAAATAATTACCAATACTATTTTGGGGGCTCCTTATAGTATTTCTTTATAATTATAATGTAGCGGGGCCCCAAAACCCTATTTCAATTATTGAAGCCCCTATGTTACTCAGGCCCCCTATTGCACTCAGGAGCACCACGCCAAGGGGGGAGCTGGAGCGACGGCCTTGGGTGAGGCGGTGATGTCTGCCTGTATCTCTGCGGCAGAAAAGAGTTTGGGCCAGGTTGCAATAAAGTTCCGTTGCGATACGGTTGATGATTTGAACCCTGCATGACCCATAATAAGGAACATACCATAATTCCCATAGTTTACGGTCCTTAACGTAATGCAGGATTTATATCCTCAACAGTATCACCTTGACCAGAAAAGCCATGATAGTAATTCGCTTCTGACTTTGACTCGGAACGTTCAGTGCTGCAGCCCTTCTAGGCTGGCGAGGTGTTGTGGTTTGGCCGTGCGGTGTGGATCCATTCAAGACTGCGGGGTTCTGCCAATTTACACCCCGCAATGATATAGAAGCCTGATAATCAAAGCAATTAGTAGTTGGTAATGCTATTCCTCGGGGTTCCTCAGATTTGATATAGGAATGCTGAATCGTCACCAATACCAGTCCGCAGGCGTCTTTGAGCTGTACTACAGCGTACCTCAACCCCAATTAGAGGCCCCTAGAAGATGTGTTCGCCGAAAGCCCAAAGCCTGATAGCCGCCCGGGGCTGTCGTATAAATAAGCATATACTATATAATATAGTATAATGATATAGTATAACACAACATGTCATAACTTCATATATATATATATATACATGTATAGATACATATGACATAAATATACAAATAGATACGTATATATATATATATGTGTATATATATATATATATAATAGCGTGATGACTACAGCACAGGCAAATCGGGACCGTCGGAGTTCAAGTTCCTCTACGATGCGGAGCATCTGGATCTGGCTTGAGGTAGGGGTCGGACTAAGTCGTAATAGTTAATATAGGGGCCTTTATTTTTTGAATTGTTTTGTCTTATTTCGGGGCCTTCAGAATTTGAATAGGGTTTTGGGGGTATATGATACTAGAATTATATAGTAAGGATCCCCACGACCCTATTCTGATAATTGTTAAGGCCCCGTCATTATGACGTTATGCGTGCATATCATACCCAGAATCCCGTTCTAGATGTTGTGGCCCACTTTTATTTGGGGACCAATCTGGAAGGGTTAGTCGAGAGGAAGCGGCGTATTTGTTTACAAGGTTCGGTCCTATCCGGCGCTTATCCGGGCGATCCCAGAGCATGCTCCTTATAGTACCAAGGTGGGCTAGCTGTGTGGCTAACTACTGCCTTGTTTGGGAGTATAGAGTCACACCACAATTGTGGAGCATATACTTTCACGGCTTGGATTCATCGCTGCAGGTTCGAGATCGGCGTTCTGAGACTCTGAACATGCGTTTCGTCCGCGGACGTGTCAAGGGCCTAGGGTTTACGGCTTAGGGAAGTACGAGAATCTTTGCGGACATCGGCCGAACACCCTAAACTCAGGGTAATTATAGTTATGCCTGACTATAGATCAGGAAAGACTCCATCAAGACCAAGATCTTGAAAGTCGTGCAGGACACCCTGTCGATTTCAAGCGTTCTGTAGCTCGATGTTTCATCTACTTTATATATGTAGAGTCACGAAAACATTTTGGCACAACGTATAGGTACGCAGTAGCCCCACTTAGGTTACTTCACTGTCAATTAAGATCCACCTACATACTTACCAAGCCCCATGATGCGCGATGATCCTCCAAGCACATCCCTAAACCTCAGACCCTTAAGGTTTCGGGTTCAGGGTTTAGGGGTATTTAAGGTATGGGGTTTAGGGTTTAAAACTCCCTAAAGCCAACATCCTTGGACTGCTTTCTTAGTATACGGCCAGCCCTAAACCCCTCCACCCTGAGCCTAAGACCCCCAACCCCCAACACCTTGAAGCTCTAAACCCCAAGCAACCCTCAAACAGCTACATCACGAAACCCTAAAGCACTACACCTAAAAATTCTAAAGCCCTCCACCCCCCAAAATCTGAGTACCTGTTTCTTTTTTTGGGGTCCTCCAGAGCCACAGTGTTCATTTTTCTTGCTCTGAGTATAGAGTTCTGCAACTGCGGCGTAAGGTCTTGTGGTTCTGACGGAAAACATTCGATTGCTAGAGCTGCTCTCATCGCGTACAGCCGTTTACGGATAAACTCGTTTGCTGATGGTGTCTCTGCTATTACCTCGCGCGCTAGCATTGCGATTGTCTACAGACTGCTGTTACCAGTTGCGACGTGTGACGGTTTGGAGTTGAGCACAGGAGCCTGAACAAGTACTGTAGTGTTCCTTTGATGGCAAGAATAGAAGGCACAGGATTGAAGTTTCGGCACAACGCAGGCATTGGGGATATGCTAGGCTGCTAGACATTGCAAAGGGCTAATTCGGGACGGAAGTATATCTAGTGAGGACGAAGAGATTTTGGTACTTAGGACTTAAAAGATGTGTGCATGTTATTGGATCCGTGTGAGGATGTCTACGGCGGAGCTGACGTGAAGTATTCGGACGCTTGGAAAGATCTGTCGGAACTGTTTCGGGTCTCTGGTCCAGCCTTCTGCGATTTCACACGCAGCCTGCAAGCGCCCCCCTCCAAAAAACCCTACAACATCCTGTATAAGTCTTCTGAAACCACGAGCGTTTAGAAAAAAAACAAGAGAACTTAGTTCTCCAATACCCAACCTTCAAACTTTCTGAACCCTAAACCCAAAACCCTAATCCCTCATCCCTAGACCCTATAAACCCTATTGGGGAAGGAAGAGAGGGACGCAGCCGAGGCCAAGGCGGAAGCCGTCCTGGCCAAGTACGAGTCCGACCCGGCAATCCGCTGCCCCCCGGCTCTTGAGAGGGGGGTCTCAAAGAGGGGGGGGGGGGATTCGGGTTTAGGGATTAGGGTTTAGGGTTGAGGGTTTGGGGTTTCGGGATTAGGTTT